CAGATATGCAATTGCTATGGGGTAACCATCTCACGTAGGAAAGGTTGTGAGTTTGGATGTTTGTGAGAAGTGTTTGCTTAAAAATAACAATTAGTTTACTTCACTGTGAAAATAAGCCAGCACGTATTTTTTTTTTTTTTTCAGGTAACATGAATTTTCTCGGACTTTATAACTTGGTCACCTCTGAAGGTCACCATTTGAAGTATTGCTGACTAAAGTATCTCATTGAACTCCTATATGCAGGATACAGAGCAGATTCGTGTGTTAACTTAAAAAAAAAAATCATATGCAGCTGGCCCTGAGTTTCAGCACTTCATAATTTTGACTGTAAACGCTTTACTGACTTCTTCACAATTATGAACAGGTTTACCTTACAGATGTGAGGATGTGCAGATGCCCTCTAGTGGAGTGTTTCTGCGAAATTTCTGCAGCCGTGCCCTGAAGATGTTGCCAAATAGGAGACCACCTGCCTTCCTCTGCAATGCCATGCACAAGGGAGATAAAACACGGTGCAGATAGAAAACAGAGGATGCTATGTATAGCTTCAACTCTAAATAAAGTCAGGTTGAGGCATGACATTGAATCAGACAACTCTCTTTCAGACATACTGCACTTTTAACCTTCATGGAATAAAAAAATACCTCCAACTTAACCAAATGTGACATAATCTCCAGGTCCTCAGAAAGGTTGCATTTCCCTGTGAGTCTTATTCTTCCTTGACAATTATTTGTTTTCTTTGCCTACCCATTCCCTTCCAACACTGACCTCTTTTCTATGACAGGACAGTTCATGAGAAGCAACCTCCAATAAGGGATGGCCATCAGCTGACAGAGTGCATTGACTCCGTCAAGAACAGGGAACAAGAGATTCTCCCCTGTGAAAAAGGGTCTGAAGAGAGTTTCAAGTGATATCAATCAGCCAAAACATCAGCAAAACATTGGGAGCAAAAAGAAGGGAGCTGGATGGCAATTTTCCCACAGGGCTTTGTTATAGGTCAGCCCATGGTGAGGTTATTATCTGGCTTTGTTTTCTCATATAGCAGCTGAAAATATAATAAAAGCTAAGTACAATTGATCTATATATCTGATCCTAGAGTATAAAGCAGATAGTACTTTACAGTTCTAGCTACAAAGGCATACCTGATGTGTTCACTCAACATTTAACTTGTTACCACTCTATGATAGTGGAAAGAAGCAAAATAATCCTGCCCTCCACACTTCACCTACTGCAAGCAGGTGCCACTCACAAGAACATGCATGTTCAGGAAGCAGATTTCCCCGCCCTTACAGAGGAATCACCTTAAGACTCCTGGAAAATATTACTACATTTCGCAACCTCAGACAAAAAAGGAAGGACAAAAAAAAAAAAAACAAAACCAAAAACAGTCTTTGATCCTGCCACACCTCCTGTGTTTCTTATCCTGTCTTGTCAATCCCAGCCACAGGAAGAACTTCTCTTGCAAGCACAGCTGTAGCAGTTAAAGAAGTTACTGCAGTTGGAGGCTCTTCAAATTAGCCTGACTCAGTTTGCATTGTGAAACAGAGGAGGACTGCTAGTGCAGCTGATTATTCAAATTCTGCACAGGGTTCTAATGAACAGATGGTGCAGTACATCAGTCTTATACTACATTAGGTGGCTTTGTAAGAGCACTCTTAACTATAGCCTTAAACTATAAACCTTATCACTAGCTGTAACTAGATTAGATATAACTAGATTGGCAGTTTAGATTACATTTTTTTAACTGATGTTGTTTGTTCCCAGTGTACTTGAAAGATCTAAACACTGCTCTTTTTTTTCCACCTACAATACAATCATTTCTGGAGCACTTACAGTAAAAGTAAAGAGAGCTATTCACATCTGAATCCTGGATTGAGAATCAGGAGTCTGTCCAGTCTGGTATATTGTTACATTATCAGTCAATCAACAGTGCCATTTAAACTGGGAATGTAAAATCTTTTATAGATAACCACTAAAGATTTGCATAACACCTAACACAATGATTGGTGCCACTAGCATTATCAAACAATAAATAAGAATTATAGAAGAAGAGCCAAGTCACAAGAGTGTGTGTGAGGTATTAGCAAAGCCAGAATAAGCCTCTGAGGAGCTTTTTGATGGGGAAGGCCTTCAGATCAATATAAACGATATAGATGAATTGCAAATGTTGTTTTCCTTGAAAGCAGCATCTCTTGAGAACTGAGCAAATGCTGCATTCCTGATACCTTCAAGACTTCAAAACCATGTCCTGGGCAATTTGGTCCGAGCATACCAAAACAAGATAAGGGAATGAGGAGAACCTACATGGATTTAAGATTTGCTCTGTCTCTTTCTGGGAATGAATCATTACAGATGACCAACACATGGAGAGGGGAGGACAAAGGCCCCTGAGGTTGTCAGACACTCAAGGAATGGTGTTATGAAAGCAGACATCTTATAAATAATTATTAAAAAAATCTGTTCCATTCTTTCACACTGACCCCAGGTGGGCAAGCCAGCCCCTTAAAGATGGTCTTTCTCTGCTCAGTCAAAAATAGTAAGAAAATGAAGCATTTGACAAAGAATCTGCACGCATTTGCAAAATACATTTTTCAAGGCTAACTCAAAGTAACTGCTTAATAAAGTATTCAAGTACATAAGCTTCAAACCACTTGCCTGCAATTGTTATTATACAGAAAGTTCATTAGCTCTTCCACATTTTGCCATTTACAACTATTTCTCTAGTAAGATTTCTGAGAAAGGATCAAGAGGGAAAACCACACAAGTGCTTATTACAGCAAGGCAAGAAGCTTTGCTGTAAACAGATTTACAACACTAGTTGTGATTGTGTTTGTATACTTCTAGCTGTGAGATCCACCTTTCGTTATTTCAGTTACAATTTCAGAATTGTTCAGTAAACCTCTGTCTCTGCCATCAACAGACATCAAAGCTACTCACTACACAGAAGGATGAGCATTATCAGGGTGAAAAAAGGATATCCTGATCATTTGTCTGGTTGGTGTTAGTAGTACCTACTGCATTTTTTTCATTTTGATATTAATTTTGTAAAGGTGATTTTCCTTTTTTTCTATAAACTCCATTTCTCTTCTGCATTCCTACACAGACTTTCTCCAGCTACCCCACACATTTCTCTTATGCACTCATTGTATGTACTAGCCTTGGTGAATAGAACTGTATTCAGGCCAAGAAACTCTGCCAGGTCCAATACCACCAGTCATGTAGTGTTGCATACCCTCTAGCAAATAAAAACACAGTGTTTGCAACCATGGCATGGCTTATCTAGAAGCACTAACGCAGCACTAGTTTGAGGGGAGCAATTTGCAGGGACAAAAGTTAGGGCTAGTTAACAGCAAATAGGATTTTTCCTGCTTCAGATTATGCTCTCAGGCTTTTAGACAAGACACTAATTTTCAGAATTGCAGACAAGTTATTTTAAGCAGTTCCTATTCCTTGGTCTCCCATTGGGTATAGCTACAAGCAAGATGCAGGGTTATGAAGAGATAGCTGTGCTGCCTTTAGACATGTTAACTTAGGCACCAGTAGCCATGTAAGCACAGCAGCATGCAGCTCAATACAGGGCTAATTTGCCCTGCTGCTTGTTTAACACCAGCTTGAATAATTCCACAGTGATTTGCAGTAGCCATACCCAATTTCAACATCAGTTTCAGCCAGCTACAGCTTTCCCTCCTGTAATTGAGTTGCATACCCTCCATGTGCACTTCAGATTTAATGGTTATGGGCTCTTATTTATGGTGAAACAATCTGTCTGGATGTGGAAGGGGATTAAAATTTCTGTTCTTTGGGCATTTTAGGGACTGACAAGGAGAGTGAGAAATTATCAGTATTAATCTAATTAGCAAGTGAAAGTATTGCATAACAGTAACTCCAGCCCATATTTAGTTATTTGCCTCATCTGCAATGTCCAGCCCTGAGACCAGAGGGGTTTAATCTTGCAGGCTAAACTTGTGTACCACCGCAGACAAGAAATATCTGTAAGAACCATGAAAAACTGTAAAGAGTTTTTAAATGAAGGGAAAAAATGAATAAGAGTTTTTTTTTTTTTTGTCTATCAGACAAACTCAGGACCAGGGCACTGGGAAAAGCTATGTCCGTCAGCAGGTTGTGTGCTGTTTATGGGATTGCCCTTACTGCATCCAGCCTCAGGAGTACAAGAGACTGGGAGGGAAGAGCAATACCTCCTCTAAAGGAACGGCCACCACAAAAAAAATTAAGAAGTGAAGATGACTCAGACTGAAAAGTCAGAATGAAGCAGAATTCAGAAGGGCAAAACCACCACAGAGCCCATCAAGCGAGTAATGCAACCACATGTCAGAGCCAGAGGCAACTTCACGGCCACCAGCTCCACTGACTGCCTCAGGACTCATGCAAAGAGCCAGATGCTGTGTCTGGGAATCCATCTTCCACCGGTCGGCATCAGGGTCCCAGGACTGTCATCTTGAGAAGAGGAGCAGCAAGTACAATACAGTGACATAAAGCAAAAGTTGAACTGGACTGTATTTGGTTTTGTCTGTTTTTTTTTTGTACTGCACTGAGTTATAAATAAAACACCTATTTCTGACATGCTTTTGTCTTGCCACTTGTCTGTCTTTGCTTATAGTAAGAAAAAGAAAAGCCTTTCAACAAATATTAAGAATGGGCCCCAATTACGTTTCCCAGCACTCATTGCCTCAGGCTTCAGAGCCCAAGGAAACCATCCCCACGTTCTCCTTTGCAAAACAAACCCTCAGATCACAGGATGATGAGGCAAACAAACCCCTCCCTGTCCTGCAATAGAGATAGGCCAAAAAAAAAAACACCCACATAAACATTTACCAAGTGTTCCGCCTTGCACTTCTTAGATAAGGCAAAAAGACTCTGAGCCATTCTTGATTTCAGTAATCAAGAACTCAGACAATGACAATTAAAAAAAATCTACCTCAAAGGCAATACCCATTCTTGGAGGCATATTCATCTGGGAAGAACAAACTTTGAACAGTCAAGTAAAAAAATGCCACATTATTTACAACTAAAACAAAAATGTAACAGAGTGATCAACTCCAAAATCTTTGCTTGTTATTTTAACAGAATCACAACTCAAGGGTGAACTCAAAGCTGACCTTACAAATGACTCAAACAGTCTTGTCACCATGCTTCTCTCTATCACTGTAAAACGTACAACTCCTGAAGCATTTCCAGGGATGAATTTTGGATTCAAAATTGGGAAATTCAGACATTTTGCAGATCTGTAACATCTGGTATAGGGAAACAGCTGCGTTGTGTAATCTTCAGCTATTTTTTCAGGCCATTTTTACATTGGTTGGTGACAGTGATGTCTGAAGATGTGACTCAGCATTCCAGTGAAAGAAATGCAGGATATCTTGCATGAATGCAGGAAACATCACATGCCTGGGATTTGGGGAAAATTTATTCATGTGCCACACCTGGGCTACAAAGATTGCTTCCTGGAACAACCTGGCTAATCGTCTTTGCATAAAGTAAAATGTTGCTTACCCATAATTACACACAATTTTGCTGCCTTGTGGGAATATATACACTACACCAGACTTAAAGTAGAACTGCAGAAAAGAAAACTTTTGTATATGATGCCCTAGAGCAGCTCAATCCAGCAGGTGGTACAACAGGCAGTGGTCTTTGCTTGAGAATCCCACAGGAGGAGAGATCCTTATGTCCAAAATAGAAATCTTCATCCTAGATGCAAGAAGTGTTTTTGCTTCAGTATCCCCATAAGGAACCCCTCAAGTGACTATGAAGCAGCAGGCTGAATCAAACTAGATCAGAGATGATGTGGCAACAGCAACAGTGCTGCCTGCTCAGTAACTCCCAGAGCTGATGTCTCAGGGTGGCAGCGCGTTGCACTGCACAGCCAGGGATGGCTGTACTATTATCTAATTTATGGAACATGCTGTATGCAAGCATGTCTGTACCTGGGATCAACAACATGAGAAGTTGCACAAAAAGCCTGCTGAAACTTTAAAACAGACAATAAAGACAGAATTCACCGACAGGCTAAATATTCTGTTGTCATTAGGTGGAGTGTACACTGATTAAAAAAAAAATAAATCCATGAATTCAGTTAGGCTGTATGATTTATAGTCCTTGTAATTGTGCCATACTGCTAATGCATTTAATTGCTGAGACATTCCTTGTGAAGATAGATGCTTTCTACTATTTAGATATAGTTACGAAATAATTCCAACTTTCACAGATTCAAAAACATTAATCAGAATGTTTATGGAAAGAATTAAGGAACTAAGAGCTTTTTGTAAAGAATTATGATAGTGAGAGATCACCTGACTGTCCTCCTGTTTATCTATACAAAACAAACATGCAAAATAAAACAACAAAAAAGCCTTAAAATCATCTGATGTAAAGTCTGAGTGCTTTAAAAAGCAAAACCAAGAGAACTCAAAACAATTACAAACATAAATCTGAAAAATATGAAAAAAAGAAATTGTTTGAAAATATATTTCCATCCATCTTCACACTGAATCATTTATTTTACTGCGGTCACAATAAGAGAGACAAAGATACTGATATAATTTCTGTTGATATTCCTTCAAACTCTTTGTATTACTGCACAAAGATGAGTTAGGACCATGGTGGAGTTGATCTCAACATGAACTTCTAACAAATCACCTACACAAATTCGTTGTAATGTGTTGTGTCCCAGCTCCCAAAAGCAAAACTGCATCAGCAATTCTGGTCTCAGTATGAAATAGGTCCTGCATAACCACAAATAAAGTAAAGACTATATCTTGCTCTGCAGATAATGTAACTCAAGATTGAGAATGCCTGATCCAGCAGTGTCAGGTGATCTGCTCATGAACATGCTCAGCACCAGTGAAAACAGGATCACACCCTTTGCACCAAGGCTGTCAAAGCATGGCTATGTATCTACATTGAAGTAACTGCACTGCATATCTTCCTTGTGCTTTCTTAGACAAAATTAGATTAAAACAATAGTGATGCATAGTCTAATTCTCTAGTCACATCTCTATTTTGAGGACATTTTGCTCAGTGAGCAAGAATCTAATTCATTCATTTCTTCAGGTTCTAAGCACAGAGCTATTCACTTTCAAGAAGGGAAGGATTCTTAGTCTTTGTGAAATCCAGGCATGATTCTTCAAGATATTTAAAAGCCACGGTTTGCAATTGTGAATTTTCCTAAGACTCAGAGATGCTTCAGCTGAGTCCTGAAACACATGGAATCTACCACAAGGCCCATTTGAAATGGCAAGGTGCACTTACTGTTTAGTAAATGCTAAACATATTCTCATATAAATATTCTCATATTTAGTAAATTAGTAAGTACTGTTTATCATAGAAGACACGTGCTTAGCTGAGCAGCAGAGCAAACACTTATTAAAAATAAACAGAATTGTAGAAATCAATTTTGATGTTAATCCATAAATGGAACTAAGTTTATCACAATAAATTGTGATAATAAAAAATAAATTTTAAGTTGAGCATGATCTAATTTCAAAGATCATTTGATTCACATCTTTACTTTATCTCCCACTTGGTGCTCTCTTTGCTCTTTTTTCAAGTTAATTCCACATTTTTAACAGTGTTCAATTGTGTTATACATTACAGATTTAGCACAAATCTCACAGTACCTGGCATTGTCTTCATATGTCAAATTTCCAGGACCGAGTGATCATCTAGACACCTCAATACTCTTTTATCTAGAAAAAAAGAAGAGATTGTTTCCACTCCTCAGTACAGAAACTAAATCTTGCCATGACCCTACGTATAATTAACAAATGTACAGTTAAAAGAGAGGCGTGGCTAGGATTGTATTTTGCAGATTTATAGTTTAAAAGATTATCACAGTGGAAAGAGACAATCAAAAATGAAATGCTCAACCATGTCCTAGGCTCGCAGCAGAAAATTCTAAAAGAAAGGATCTCCAGAAAGAGACCCCTCCCAAATGGCAGTCAGCCCTTAAATGGGGTCTAGGAGAGGTACAACCAGGCTCCACCCCTTCCATCACACAGCTGAATCGCCTTCACCTGTGCTCCCATGGCGGATTCAGCGCTTGCCTCAGGTGGTCAATCAGTGCTTCAGGCCGTGACTCAACAGCTCCCATACACCCTAAAAGTACTCTAATTTACTATTATGCAAAATCTAATGATTTGGATAACTTAAGGAATGCTTTTTGAATGCTGGGAAATATAAAATAATTTTACTATTGGCAGTTTTTTAGATAGCCCACTGGATTTGTTTTAGCTCCCAATAGATAAAACTGCATTAGCTTCCAATGACTTATCTGGATCAGAATCACACTGAAATAAATCCAATTAATTTCCTTAAAGACTCAGCTTTCAATCAGAATGTAAAATAAAACTATCCTTTATTCCGTCTATGGATCTTAATTAGCAACCGTTCCTTTCTGTCATCTTAAAGGGCACTACCACTATGTCACTTAAAAATTAAGTATTCATCTTTAAAAACACAGTTAAATTTTTCGTATCTTAAATAATTTTAACTTTTAATGATGGAAGCTGGAAAGTTTCCCTGTAATTCTTAAAATTATGTCACTGATGGGCTGCATCCCTGACTGGTGCCAAAATATAACAATGGTTTCAAATCAAGACTAAACTATTAAATTAGGTGGAAGTGAACAGCTTCCAAGCTGCAGAGAACAGAAAATATAATAGAGGACAAAAAGGAGACAAGTATATTGTTTGGGAGTGAACTGCCTGCAAACAGTGGATTGGTGTTAAATCCTGAACTTTAGTGAGCGGGTGATGAGCTGGGTTCATCTAACACCAACAAACATGATATAGCTGCAGGGCATTTCACCCTGGTTAAATATCAGATGAATTAAAGGCTATTGCCAGCAGCTGTGATGAATGTCACTGGGATGCCATCTGATTGCTCTTGAGTTTTATGAGTGAAGTACGTCGGCTCCTTTGTTAAGGTCAGCATGTATTTCTAATGGTTCATCTGCAGGGCTTTGCTGAAGGCACCAGTGAGAACACAGGTGCTGGAAAATGTCTGTTTCACGCAGCATGGACTGGAAAAAGCAGGACTGAATAGTGTAAGGAGGAACTTTTGCATCAACATGTTTGCAGTCTGGAAGCAGGACTCACAGTTAAGGACATAAACTGACATTTGTGATGGGACAAACCAAAACAGACATTTTTAAAAAACTTGCATAAACAAATAACTTTCTTTGAGTTACCAGCTGATGACACTTGCACAGATTTTATATAAATGTATTTAAAAAGAATCTCAGACTATGAAAGGACCAAGCTTTGCATGTTTTTTCTGCTGATTTCTGAGATGGTGATTCAGAGAGGGGATTATGCACCATTTAACCCTCCTCATTTAGTTTAGGGGATTATCTAAATTAATCTCAGTGCTCATACTCCTCTGTTCTTCTTTTCTACAGTCTGGACTGCATAGCACTGTGAAATTTCAGCTCACTCTCTTTCTCACCCATTCTCAGATCTTCCTCCTTCAGTTTGTCTCTACAGAGTCCTATCAGGAAAAATTCCTTTATTGTGATCAATAGTTGTATCAGTTGTATACCAAAATAAATACCTTAAAGAATCTTACTTTTCCTTAGCAAATAAATAAATAGCTAGATGCATTACTTCCCTGGCAACTCCCATTTACTTTTAAAATTATTTTTTAAATAATAATACATAGATCTTTCCAATGAGATGAACCCAGTAACAGAAAAACATGTTCTTTTTAATTCTCCTATCTTGCTACTAATTGTATCCTAAACATCTCTTGAGATAATAGGACAATCTTTGTCTATACCCAAAAGTAACTCTAATTGTGAATATGGAACAGGTAAGTTTAGACCATCTGGAACTCATATTAATCAAATGAACTCACACTTGCCAAAGTCTATCATGAAGAAAGTGATGGTAACCTGGCCACACTCAGAGGAGAGCTACTATACACATATTACTGGTTATCTCATTAAGGCTAACATTTTTGGGATGCCTGTGGCTTTCTGAAAATCATTCTTGCTGCATTGGTGGACTCCAATACTCTTAGATGTGTTCCATGCTCTCAGATCACTCCACATGTGCTGTGAATCCCGAGCAGTGGGACATGTTGAAAAGTCAAAGATTCTTCTCTGCATGCATGTAGTGATTAGCTCTCTGGCCAAGTGACTACTGATTACTGCCAAAGTGAACACTGACCACCCCACATGATGGTTAATGTTGCCATATGGATATTAGAAATTTTAACTTTAGTCCCTTTAACTTCCTTTTGCCTTAGCGTTAACTCTGTCTAACGTGAGGAGGTCTAAGAACAGAATGGATATTTATTTTGAGCTTCTCAAGGTATGGGTATCAAAATCAATGCAATATCATTGTCTCTCTGTCCCTTCCTGAGAACAATGGAAGGTTATCTCACAGAGATTTGAAAACAAAATCATCAAATCAACCATTTAAAACAACAACTCCAGGCAACACTACAGGCTTGGGTCAGAGTTGCTGGAAGACTGTGTGGAAGAAATGTACCTGGGTTTGTACCTTAGCTGAACATGAGCCAGCAATGTGCCTATATGGCCAAGAAAGCCAATGGCATCCTAGCTTATATTAGAAATAGTCTTGCCAGCAGGAGCAGAGAAGTAATCATCCCTTTGTACTCAGCCCTGGTGAGGCCGCATCTTGGATACTGCGCTCAGTTTTGCACCCCTCACTACAAGAAGGACATTGAGGCTCTGAAGCACGTCCAGGGAAGGGCAATGAACCTGGTGAGGGATCTGGAGCACAAGTCTTATGAGGAGAGGATGATGGAACTGGGATTGCTTATCTGGAGTAGAGAAGGCTCAGGGAAGACGTTATTGCTCTCGTTAACTACCTGAAAGGAGGTTGTGGCAACTCCAGCCAAAGAGTAGAATATGTAAATCATGTATTTAATCTCTTTGGGTAATCATAAGAGCTCAACTCACAAGAGCTATCAAGCTTTCCCTATACTTTTTCTTAATTGCTGCGCTGCCTTAAAGTTATGTCACTTTCAATTTTTGTCTCTTAGCACTGGCCATCACCAGTAGATATTGCATCCAATTTTTATCTTTGGCTCTAGTTCGCCTCTGATAAGAAAATCCTTGAAGAAATTTTTGTGACTTTGAAATCATTTGATTTATTTTTCAGTGTGTAAAATATGTTTTTCTTATTGAGAGAACAATGAAAAACATGGAACAGTAAAGTCAACATTTTCAAGAGTAAGCTCTAGTTTTTGATGTTTAAATTTGTGCACACTCAAATGCAGGTTTTTCAAAGCTATTTGTCCACTGTATCACTGACAACAACAGCAGCTACCCAAATCCTGCAGCCTAGAATTTCCCTCTTCTAGTCCTGCAATTCACGCAGACCGATGCCCTCATCCTACAAATATATAACAAGTATGTTATTAATACATGTTTTAGGACAGAGCTTCTTCTGTGTACGTTTGGTGGCCCTGCTAGGCAGGGGGGTTGGAACTACATGATCCTTGAGGTCCCTTCCAACCCGGGTGATTCTGTGATTCTGTGATTCTGTGATTCTTGGATCAGAAGATCACTGTTTCACTGTTTTGCTGCCAAATTAAGAACATACATGCATATTTTGCAACATGGTGCACTCTCGAAACAGCATTGTTAAGTATCTGCTTTTGGGTGCCTAAATTGATGGACCCGCTAACCACAGAAAGCACAAACAAAAGGACTGCTCATGGAGCTAATTACAGAGCTACTATGAAGTACCTGAAAATATTTGGGAAGTAGGCATGTATGATCTGTGGGTTACCAAAGATTTTTTAGAAATGGTCCTGTACAAGAAACTCCAGGCTTGTTTTCCTTGCAAGCTCTATTTAGAACAAAAATGTTCTTGCAGTAAATGCAACCAATGTTACAACATACGATATTTGTGTTGTGAAGGGCAGAGAAGAAGGTTGTCTGTGAGATGTCAGGTTGGCCAAGGGAAGCTAACACAGTGTGGCAGAAGCTGAAAGAAGTGACAAGATCTGAATTTTGTCTGTATAATCATGGAGTCATAGAATCACGGATCGGTTTGGGTTGGAAGAGAACCTTTAAGACCATCTAGTTCCAACCCTCTACTATAGGCAGGGACACCTCCCACTAGACCAGGTTGTTCAAAGCCCCAGCCAGCTTGGTCTTGAGTCCCTCCAGGAAGGGGGGCATCCACAGCCTCTTGAGCAACCTGTTCCAGTGTCTCACCACCCCCACAGTAAAAAATTTCTTCCTAATATCTAGTCTAAATCTACCCTCTTCCAGTTTAAAACCATTTCCCCTTGTCCTGTCGCTACCTGTCCTTATAAAAATAATGTCAAGTTGTGCTCATTAGCTCTTCATAGTAGGTCCACAATGTGCTGCATCTGAATGTTTATCTGAATGTCATATTCAACTTTATGAAATAGGTTAGAGCTGGATTATTAGATAAGATCAATATCAGCAGATGCAGAACACTGTTATGGTGCAAAGATGGAATCTCTTATTAACAACACTTCTAAATTCAGTAAGAAAGCTTTCCCTTTTCTGAGCGCAGGTCACTACCAAACAAATAAAAAAACAAAACAACAAAATCAAAACCAAATCAAACCACAACAAAACAAATATAATACTGATCAGAGAAGTTCCAAGAATACCACAGGTAGCTAGACATATACCTATATAAATAAGTAAACTTACATCTGAATTGGAAAGAATGAAATTCTGACTCAGTTAAATTCAATAGCAAAACTTCTGATAATTTCTTTTGCACTAACTTTTCATTTGTCTTTATTCAGTTGCATTTGATGTACAATAAAGGCAAAAATGAATGATGAGCACAAAAAGAAGGGAAGTAGAAAAACAGTGAACTCCCATACTACACAAATATCCGTGTACAATAAAGTTTTTAAACAGGTGACACCAGAGCAGAAGCTAAACTTGAAGCATGCCTAAAACTCCAGATGAAACA